CAAACTCTATATATATATATATATATATATATATATATATATATATATATATATATAAATGGGGGTTTTAAACAATCTTGTTTCACAAATCTGGTAATATTATAATGAACAAATTCTACAAACTCATTGTAAAAAAACCAAGTATCCAAACATTGTATAGTTAGTATAGAGATTATCTCAACGTGCGGCGGTCTATAGAGATAATCTCAACGTGCGGCGGTCTATACGAGTCAGGAGCCTATTAACACAGATAGTAGAAGCTCGAGCGATAGTGGTGGTTATATTAGGTTACAATAGCCACGTGATAACCATGTGACAACCACTGACTGGATGCTTGTTCACAGACAACTACAGATCGGTATCTACATACACACCGCTGTAGTTGAGTCCACTCGAGTTAAAGCTAGAGGTAGCTCCACTGTGGGGGTGATATGGCCAGTTACAGCTAGAGGTAGCTCCACTGTGGGGGTGGTATGGCCAGTTACAGCTAGAGGTAGCTCCACTGTGGGGGTGGTATGGCCAGTTACAGCTAGAGGTAGCTCCACTGTGGGGGTGATATGGCCAGTTACAGCTAGAGGTAGCTCCACTGTGGGGGTGGTATGGCCAGTTACAGCTAGAGGTAGCTCCACTGTGGGGGTGGTATGGCCAGTTACAGCTAGAGGTAGCTCCACTGTGGGGGTGGTATGGCCAGTTACAGCTAGAGGTAGCTCCACTGTGGGGGTGGTATGGCCAGTTACAGCTAGAGGTAGCTCCATTGTGGGGGTGGTATGGCCAGTTACAGCTAGAGGTAGCTCCACTGTGGGGGTGGTATGGCCAGTTAGAGGTAGCTCCACTGTGGGGGTGGTATGGCCAGCTAGAGGTAGCTCCACTGTGGGGGTGGTATGGCCAGTTAGAAGTAGCTCCACTGTGGGGGTGGTATGGCCAGCTAGAGGTAGCTCCACTGTGGGGGTGGTATGGCCAGTTACAGCTAGAGGTAGCTCCACTGTGGGGGTGGTATGGCCAGTTACAGCTAGAGGTAGCTCCACTGTGGGGGTGGTATGGCCAGTTACAGCTAGAGGTAGCTCCACTGTGGGGGTGGTATGGCCAGTTACAGCTAGAGGTAGCTCCACTGTGGGGGTGGTATGGCCAGTTACAGCCCACTCTGTATACAGGAGCCCCGCTGCTACCTGGACAGGTACACGTTGTGTACGTGTACCTGGTGTCCCCACACTCAGTCACAACAATCCTGTCCACCCAGTGACCTATAGACACCTGCTTAGAACAGCCGTGTGGATGTGAGACTATAATGGTCAGCTTGTCCACGTCACTACGACTCTTGTATTTTTGTCGAACAGTCGCACACAAACCTTCAACCCTGTCCACCATCCCCTCCAGTTTTTCAATGATCTGACGGTCATGTGACACACAGGTCAAACTGCACCAATCTTCTTCAGTGTTTAACCCACCCACCTCTCAACCAGAAACGTTGACCACTGGACTTTGATCATCATCAAACCATAACCTACAGCTGGACTGTCTCGCCTCAATCGAATCATAAACCACATGTCTGGCTGTCAACACAACAACCTTCCACCACACATTGCTGGGTGTGTCCGAGTGGTCACATTCAGGACATGGACATGTTTTGTAGCCCTCCATCGCCTCTGTGTACTTGGTCACATGCCACACCCTCCCTGTCCCTGTCCTCAGTGAGTTATGTCCCCTTTTCTTGTAGCAAGGATATGGATCTTTAGTGCCTGGTACAAACTCTGGTCTGTCTGGACTGGTGAACTTAACAACTATCCTGACTGTTAGATCAATTTGTGCTTTAATGAGCCTATACAGCTCGTTATTTTGGTACCCAGAAGGAAATGTGTCAATCGTTATACGATTAACGGGTATAAACCGCGTATGGCCAGGATTTTTCTTGCAATTTGCCACGTGTGTGTGTAGATCAGCTTCACCTTGACCTTCAAGACATTCTTGTACCTCATGCACGCATGTACATGTAATAAATAAAAAAATACGGTCAAAACTGTGTTTACTCAAAACAAAAGTTAAAGATTAAAACTGCATGATGGTAAGTGTAATGCTACATTTCTAGAATCTAATATTATTTATTTATTTTTAAAACTTCGGTATTAAATCAAACGTTACAATGACTATAATGTGGGTTAAAAATAAACGATCAACATAATTCGAAACAAGATGTACATGCCCTTCGCCCCCCCCCCCCCCCATCCCCTCTGAAGCATGTCTACTCACCTGGCATGAAATGAAAGACAGACAGACAGACAGACAGACAGACAGACAGACAAGTAGGCAAGGTGTATCCGTGTGTGATTCGGTCTGTTGGTAGGTGTTGGTGTAAATGTAGGTATATATGTAAGTGTAGGTGCAGATGTAGGCTAAGTTATGCAAATCACCAATGGTCAAATAACCTTTCAATCCTACTGTTATTAAAATGTATCTATTTTTTCTAAGAATATAAGCGATAATATGATTTGACATTGATCTCTTT